ACACACATATATATATATATATATATAAATGGTCCTTCATTGTGTATGTGTATATATATATATATATATTTGTTTGAGATTTTAGAGACCAAACAAACTAGAAAATAAGCAAGTAAAAGTTGAAAACATAAATACCAAAAAAACCAGCAGAACAGAAACACGCCTGAAACAACAAACACGACTTTGTCCATAAAATGTGTAAAAATGTCCAAAGTCTCTCCTTGAGACGACAAAAATGTTCAAATATTCTGAAGCATCTGAAAAGAAAATCTGAAATCGGTGATATCTGAGCTGGGAGTCACTTCAGCAGATGAACGACTGGATTCATTTCTGCAGCTTCGACTTAAAAACACATCAGACAGAACAGTGAAGCTGAAGAAGAAGATTTACTGATTCATTTAGTTTTATCATTAAACATCCAGTAAATGTTCTTTAATCAATCCAGTCACTTTTGAAGCTAAAGTAGTGAAAAAAAGCCAAATATTTGCTGCTTTTTCACCATATTTCAAAGAAAACCTTTTTTTTTAACATAGATTTTGGACAAAACAAAGAAACGAGGGTTATGTTTTAGGTTAAGTTCTCTGTTGAACATTTTCTCTGCCGCAGGTTAAATATTTGGGAGGAGTTTTAATTAGAAACTGCAGCAGGCTGCGGCTCGTCTTTCAGGTTCCTGCAGGTCTGTTGAGAAATATTTTCAGAGCTCGGAGCTGATTCAGTCGGTCTCAGCGGCGGTTACAGAACCGTTTCCTGAAACTCTGTTTACCAGCTTCAGTCCGTCTGCAGCTGCTTTCATCTGGATGAGCAAAGTTCAGTCTTTGGAAGCTTTAATATTTCTCATAAACAAACAGTTTGGTTCCATTTTGGACACGTTTCTCGTCATTTTGGACAATTTCAAAGTCATCTTAAAGACGTTGTTCACAACCAGGCCTGACATTTACAACAATAATAACACTACTGCATTGTTTCTAATGTTATCATTATTAAACATGACCTACAGACGGATTTTATGTCTAAAATAACTTCTGTGAGCTGTGATCTTTAAAATATAACCCTTATGATTGAAGCCAAGTCATTCTGGTGCACTAATGACACTTTAGTGACACCGTCAGAGCTGTTAGGCAGGAAGAAAGCAGCTTCCTATGAGCTGAACTGGTCCTTTAAAGCTGCTTCAACTGGTACGAGGAGCTGGACTGGTTGTAATGTGGTCACAGAGCAGCAGAGACGTAAAGAAAAGTGCAGAACAGATTCCAGATAAGAACATCACTGGACTCACACACAGCTTCAACAGGAACAGAGTGGAAGAAGCAGTTTGTTTTTGCTCAGTCCTGTCAACACGTGATCACATTGACTGGATGTGTTCAGTGACTGCAGGAAATATCTGATATTTATATGTACATTTTTTATTTTTTGTTTTTTCCTGTGTCGTATCTGTGTACGTCTGTTGAAAGCTGCTGTCAACGATGTGAATTTCTCCTTGTGAGATAAATAAAGGCATATCTTATCTTATCTTATCTTAAAACCAAACCTACAAATGAGTGTTTGGTATAAACAGCACTAGAAAGAGGTTAAAGAACTGGTGAAGTCAAACGTCTGAAGTTCCGAGAGCCGAATCCACCTGAACACACCTGAGAGCGCTGCTGGTCGGTTTGATGACGCGGTTGTTTGTTTTAAAGGCGACGACAGGAAGGAAAGTTTAAACCGGCAGAAATTTAACTGGAGTTTGGCGGCGCGGTTTCTGCGAAGTGTCTGGAAAGCAAACTGCGAGCGATAAAGTTGAATGTAGGTCAGCAAAAAGCGTGACAGGTTAAAGCGTAGTTCCAGGGAGTCACCAGGTGTGGTTCGGGTTACCTGCGGGGACGTTAGCTCCGACTTAGCTTCACTTCTTCCGCAGGAACAACACAGCTCACCAGACTACATGTTATTTTTATGGGTTTTTGTGATATGAAGCAAACACTCACACTGTTGTTGGAGTTCTGAGACGGATTGGGTCCTTTTCATCCTGCAGCGGCTCACAGACTCACAAACACACCGCTGTTGTTCACCTGCACAGGTGAGTCAGCGTCACTGGAGAGGAGGGGGAGGAGCCTCCATCTTCTGCTGTGTTTCCACCAGTGTGGCTCCAACACTTCCAACTGGGAGATGGTGAAATCCTCCAGCCTTCTTCCACATAAACCACAGACTGAGTGACTCACTTATACACATGTTAATCTGAGCCCTGCTCCCTCCTGACCAGTTGGACCAGTTTGGCCATGAGCCTGAGCAGGATAGTGTTACTGGTGACCAAGCTGTCACCTGACAAACCAGCCGGTCCAGTTTCATAAACCAACTTAACAGGGTTTTTACTTTTTCTAGACGCTGTCACAGCTTTCTGATCAAACTGTGTGAATGTGATGAGCAGAGATCCTGTTCACCTGCAGGCAGCTCCTGGAAAAATAAAGTCACTCAGGAATAAAATCACCGTAAAGTTTATTGATAAAAGATGAACTCTGATGTGAGTGAATCCGCAGATACAGAAAAATATTTCAGTAAAAAACTTTCTTTTTTTCTGGTGATAAAGTGCCAGAGATGTTGGTTACCGTAGCAACAGTTTCCTCTACTTACAGCACAGACGTCTTCATCAAAAGGTCAAAACCAACCGACTACAGCGTATAAATTATGAGCATCTTATAAAAACAGTTTAACACAATAAATTCTTCACATGCAGACGGTGGACCGTTAGCCTCTCCGAGCAGCTCTCTGATTGGTCCGTTGGAAGTGGGCGTGGCCTCCGTCGTCACTTCCCGTGTCCGAAAGGATCAGAAGAAGACTGACCGGCCACCTCGTCTCCTCCGGACTGAAGCTCGTGACCGAGATTTATCACAGCGCAAATGCTGAGCTGACAGACTGGAGGGGGGGATCCGATCCGCCTGAAAGATCAACGCATCAGTGATCAATACATCAGTGATCAATACATCAGTGATCAATACATCAGTGATCAATACATCAGTGATCAATACATCAGTGATTAATGCATCAGTGATCAATGCATCAGTGATCAATGCATCAGTGATCAACGCATCAGTGATCAATACATCAGTGATCAACGCATCAGTGATCAACACATCAGTGATCAATACATCAGTGATCAACACATCAATCAATACTGACAGGCGACATATACGATTCTCTTGAAAAAGGTCAAATCCAGGATGCTAGATGGAAGGCTCTGACAGATTTTTGATTTTCAGGTGGACCAGCTCTTTACCCCCTTGCTGAGGGGGTCAAGGGACCATCCAGTCTAGATGTGTTTTGTGGACTTGTGACAAGGAACCAGAACCAGAATCCAAGCACAGGCCCTGGTTGGTGTTCGTGACTTAAAGAATGAGATCCAAGTGGCTGAAGTTGGCTTCCTCATTAGGGTTGCTGGGCTCCTCCTTAGAGACAAGGTAAGGAGATCGGAGTCTTCTTTATCCTGAAAGGAACCAGGTTTGGGTGACTGACCAGGATGCCTTCTGGACATCGTCTTTGGGGGTTTTCCCACCAGCTGGAAGGAGACCCCAGGGTAGACCCAGAGCTCTCTGGAGGGATTACATGTGTACTCTGGCCTGGGAACACCTCAGGATACCCCAGAACTGGGAGACTCTACCAGGTAGAGGGACGCCCAGAATGACCCGCTTAACCTGCTGCTGCTAAGACTTAAACCCGGATGAGAGGGAAACAACAGGTTGTCTCAGTAAATGAATGGCCTGATGGGATGAGGATGGAGGAAACATGAGGAATCATCTTCAAACTCTCTGGTTGTCGTGGACCTGGAGATACCTGGACCTGCCCTTTAAACCGTGACCCGGTGGACCCTGAGGCCGGCCGGTTGCCGTTCGGCGCGCTCACCTTATTGATGGTCCAGCTGCGAGCAGAACTTCTTTCCTGTGGCACAAACACAGACAGCAGCTCTGAGCACGCTCGGTTCTACATGCGATTCAGCCGATTCCGGCGGTTCTGGTCTTACGCTCACCTGTTGTCTGACTCCTTGTTTTCGGTCCGGTTCAGCTGCTGCTGCTCAGACCTGCCGACGGGAAAACAGGTGATCAGTCTGGTTGTTTAAGTCCTCGCTGCCACCTTTGACCTCCGACCTCAGCCTGACTTTATGACCCAGTTTCCCTTCGTTCAGGTAAAACCTTGATGCTGAACAGATGAGCAGCAGCAGGCAGGTTTATTTAAGTGTTTATTCATCGTGAAACGTTCTCACAGCATTTAGGATCATGTTACAGACAGAAACCAGTGAAACCAGACTGATAGTTGCTCATGGTTCACCTGGTGTCACACAGTCCAGGTTGTCGACCACCGTATGGAGCACAAAACCAGAAAGACGTGAACAGAGTCACAAAGACAGTAACGGGAGAAATGTGTTTCGGCTGATTGAAGTGTGCACGAACAGAAACAGCTCCAACAACCTGCAGTCACATGATCAACCACAGACCTGACGGGTACTCAGGAGGTCACGTGACTCCGTGTGGTCATGTGACCATTGGTTAGTGTTGGGTTCATCAGACGGGAGCAGGAGAAGCTCGGCGGTTAATGAAAGCTTCCACTTGGGATGAACCTTTAAGCTCTGGGAGGCTTCCTGCTGAAATGCATTCTGGGAACTGTAGTAAATCTTCTCTTTATCGTGTTTGTGACTCTCTGGCTCAGACGTGCTTTTTCTTCGTGGGGTGTCTATCAGTCGATCCGATCGGTTTCAGGCGGAGATAACGAACAGCCAACAGGTGGGAACGTCAGAATCCGTTGCCACGACGACGGAGGTTTAAGAGCTGCTCTGTTTCATTTCTTTCCAACACCGAAAGGGTCCCTGGTGGAGTCGCCCGCCTTCTCATCTCCACGCTGCAGGGTGGAGCCAAGGTTCACCGTCAGACAGGTGGGCAGGGGGCAGTCAATGGATTGGAGGCTAAACAGGTAAGGCAGGTACAGGT